CCTGGCTTTGGATCAGCGCAACTACAGCTATTGCGGCCATTTGGGGAGTGAACCAATGGAAGGAAGACCTTTCTGTCTTTCCCTCTCACTGTCTGTAACTCTACCTCTCAAATAAATAATAAAATCTTTGAAAAAAAAAAAAACAGTTGTTTGGCCAATTTGGGTTTGATACTTTTTTTTAAATAGAATTTTGTCATATTAAAGTCATATGCATTCATTTACACATTATCCATGGTGGCTTTTAGGTTACTCTGATAGGATTAAGTAGTGGTGACAGAGATAGTATTTCCCACAAAGCCTAAAAATATTTATTATCTAGGCATTTTTAGAAAAATGTTTCCCAACCTCTATATTAATGAAAGTTACTTTAAAAAAAGTTGCGTATGGGGATACACATTCACCAGTTTTCTTTAAGAACTGGTTCTTAAAGGTTTCCTGCACACCACTGATCTTAAATATTCATCAAGCATATCTGCCAAGTCTTCTTGTTCTCTGGTAGGTAGTGCTCTGTTAACTTCCCCATAAAGATACTTACCAATCGTCTTTCTCTATAGAACACTCAGTTGAGCCTCATGAAATCCTACACCTGCTTGCATTTTAACAATTGAATAAATGAAATCATTGTAACAAAATTTAGTACTTCAATACAAACAATAGTTCCTTGCTATTTCATATCATCTTTGGAGGCAACATAGTAAGGTTTAGAATAGAACCCATTCTATGATTAACCACTGCTAAAATTCTTTTTTATTTGACATCAAATTCACCCTATTGGAAAAATTTATTTAAGTTTCTAAATCAGGATATAAAACAGATGACCAAAAATGAAAAATAGTATCCAGGAGGAGGAATAATTTGTAAGTTTGTATAATTATGTATATACACATGTAATTTCTCTTTTTTATTTTACTTTTTTTTAATTTATTTATTTATTTTAAAGTCAGAACTACACAGAGAGAGGAGAGGCAGAGAGAGAAGTCTTCCATCCATTGGTTTACTCCCCAATTGGCCACAACAACCAGAGCTGCGCCTATCCAAAGCCAACAGCCAGGAGATTCTTCCAGGTTTTCCCATGTGGATGCAGTGGCCCAAGGACTTGGACCATCTTCTACTGTTTTCGCAGGCCATAGCAGAGAGCTAGATAGGAAGTGGAGCAGCTAGGTCTTGAATCAGCACCCATATGGGATGCCGGTGCTTCAGGCCAGGGCATTAATGTGCTATGCCACAGCACCAGCCTCTTATTTTACTTTTAAATTTACTTTCTGGTTTTGGATTCAGATAACACATTTTCTGCTGTTTCATTAGAGAATGAGTGTGATGTCTAATAATCATGTGTTATCATAACATTCAAAGTAACAAGAGTTTGAAGTGGCTATAAGGTCTTTATCATCATACAGTTTGACTTGCCAGATTTAGAAGACCCTGATACATTATAAAAGGTGTGATAATTAAATATGACAATATTAAATTCTAGTTTGTTGTAGTGCAATATAACCCAATTAATTGCAAACTTTTGACAAATTGAAAGTCTTTTAAAGAATTTCATTAACATTACTCATGAGTCAGATACCTTTCATGATACTCCATTCATTCATTCATACATTCATTTGAAAGGCAGAGTGACAGAGAGACAGAGAAAAAGCGCGATCTTCCATCAGCTGGTTCACTCCCCAAATGACCACAGACAGCCATGTCTGGTCCACATGTATACCAAGTGCAGAGAACTCCATCCAGGTATCTCTAGTAAACCATCTTGTACTGCCTTCCCAGTCATATTAGGAGAAAGTTGGATTGGAAGCAGAGCAGCCAGGACTTTAACTGACAATATAAAATGGGTTGCCAGCAACTGCAAGTGGTGGCGTAACCCACTGTGCCATAACTCCAGCATCTCTTGATATTAATTCTTAAGTCAACTTAATAATATACTTTATAATATACTTTTTAAAAAGGAGAAAAACAGGGAAAATAAGTTCAAATAAATGGCAGAATATTTAAAGATCCCATTAAATTAGACAATAAATATGAGAAATTACAATCAGAAATAAAACTTCTGAACCAACTCAAATTAATCATCGTGTACTAGAAATTTACTTTTCATGAAAGGCTTGTTTGGTTTCTTTGTTTTCTTATTTGTATGCTTGTATTCATGTTTATTTTAAAAGTAATTTGTCTTTGGTTACACTGCTTTGTCCTTTCTCATTGCCTTTATACTTTGTATAATGCATTTGACTGTATTTGAAGGATTTTATTTACAAGTTAAGCAGCATTGACTTGATTTTTATTATAAAATTCCTCTTTTTAGAGCCGTTCTAATTAACACTTGCTTTTCATATTGATTTAGTAATTTTATGCATGCTTCCAAAATTTCATAGTTGAATGATCAAACTATTTTAGTGGAGCTTCTGTATTACTTGTTTTCTAACTCTTGACTCTACATTGTTAAATAAAGTATACTTAGTGGATTTTGGTGCTGGATTAGGTTTTTTCCTAATGGGGCTTAAGATAATTATTTTTTAATCAAAATATTTGTTCTTTTTTGTGTCTTTTCTTTTAGTGATTAATTTTACTAAATATATCTAAAAAAGTTTCATTTAAAAAACATATGCTCTTAGCTTAAACAATAAAAAGATTCAATAATAATATGACTTTCTTGTAATAGAACATATTGAGTTTTTTGTTAAATCTCTTACATGTTGAGATTAGTTTCTTATTATAATTTTAAAATTTTATTCACAATCCGTAACACAGGCATGTCACTAAATATATATTTGAATTGTTTTGATACTTTCAATATAGTTATATATAGGAATGACTTATAAATATTTAGTGAAATAATGGTTTATTTTATCATTTAACTTTTGCCTTTCATTACTACTGAAAAAGTCAACATAAAGCATTAGGAGAGACTTTTTAAAAAATTAAAAATTATTATCAAAAACCATTTTTATTTTCCCAGTTATATTTATCAATGTTTATATTTATAATTGTTATATTTATAATTGTTTCTCAGTTATATTTATAATTATTTATATTTCTCCTTTATTTTTCTGTTTTTGACAAACTAAAAGTATCCACACATGAATGGGTGACTAGTTTAATCCAAGAGATAATTATTTATACTTAAGTTATATTTTCATAGTGATGACATTAAAAGTGGATGATAAGTAAGAATAAAAGGAAAATATTCTTTGTGGCTAACTTAACAATATTTCCACAAATAAGATACATGGGATCTGTTAAATGATTTGATTGCCAATGTGTAGCTCTAAACACAGGATGTAATTATGTAATTACGTAATATAGTCATAAAGTTAATGTATTCAGAAGCAGACTTATGAGAATATTGAACATTTGAAGCTCACAAACACAAGAGTTATGTTTTGCCATAAGCTCTGTTTCTTTGCCTCTGAATTATCCCCGGTGCCTACTATTCTTAAGAAAGAAATTATACCTTAGGAAATTAAAACAAAATAAAATCAGCCAAATTTTAAAAAAGTGCATGCATAAGCTAAATGCCTCAACATTTGGTTCAGTTTTGCTTAAAAGAGAAAAATGCTTGCTGATAATTAAAACACAAAATTATTTTTATGTGATAAATTAGATCTTCCATGGGTTTAAAATATTCCCTTGTATAAGATTTTAAGATATTTGCCCATATAACCTTCTGCCTAGCATTCAAATATGCTAAATAGCCCAAATACATTAAAACAAACAAACAGATCCTTTAAAGAGAGAGGTACTTATGTGTTTCATGTTAGGAACTCAATGACCATATTATTTTGACCTGAAGACTCTCATTACCTCACTTGCTACCTCTTATTTCTACCATCCTGCTATGTGGTTTTAAATAAAAGAAGTAAATAATCTATAGAAGCCTACAGGGTGCATTTGAGGATGTAGATTCCATCAGTCACAAATGAAGAGAGCAGTAAGGACTTTGTTGATACTACAGGTTTCAAGGTAGACAAACTTAAGTACAGTGTAGTTAGAAAAGAATACTAGTGGCCTTGTATCGGTAAAAGAAAATATTAAAAACAAAAAAAAACCTTGAATAGCTAGGAAATTCAGTATGATAAACCTGGTAAAGATAATTTGAAAAAAGAAAATTATACATAAGGTTTTATTTATAAAATATATAAAATAGCCATCATATTTTATCAAATTAAACCCAACAATATGACATGAGAGACATATATCATTTAGGGGCTGGCGCCATGGCTCACTTGGTTAATCCTCCACCTGCAGCGCCGGCACCCCGAGTTTTAGGCCCAGTTGCTCCTCTTCCAGTTCAGCTCTCTGCTGTGGCCCGGGAAGGCAGTGGAGGATGGCCCAAGTGCTTGGACCCCGCACCTGTGTGGGAGACCAGGAGGAAGCACCTGGCTCCTGGCTTTGAATAGGCACAGCACCGGCCATAGCAGCCATTTGGGGAGTGAACCAATGGAAGGAAGACCTTTCTCTGTCTCTCTCACTGTCTATAACTCTACCTGTCATATAAATTGAAATAAATAAATTAAATAAATAAATGTATCATTTAAATCAATGTATTTCTAATAAAATATCCATTGTGTGCTACTGAACAGTCATCTTTTAGGTGACATTAAGGAGGTAGAAGTATCATTCTGTGGGAAACATTCGAGCTATGGAAGATCAATGGATTAGCAGTCTAGTGATACAGTTTTTACTCCAGTGCCAGGTCACAAGTAAGGCAGTCAGAAGAAAGAGACAAGTCACTTAGTGCACTTTTTCTCCTCATTGTCTTTTACATACTGAGCCCCTATCCAACCCTATGAAATAAATACTATGGATTAAGGTTTGTTAAGGAAATTTGCTCTTTGGTGGACTACAATATTGTAATATCTAAAATGCTGTTTTTCCCAATAATTAGTTGTCACCCTTTAAATGTAATAATGGCCATGTTGAGACATGTCTTCAGGAAGAGTGATACTGTGAATTGGTTGTTATTGGAACATTTGCATTTTAATTATAAATGTATTTTTCAGATTTATGATGGAAAAGATAAAACGACTCATCTACTGGGTGCTTTTACTGGTGCATCTATGCGAGGACTGACACTTAGTAGTACTTCAAATCAGCTCTGGCTAGAATTTAATTCTGATTCTGAAGGGACGGATGAAGGCTTTCAACTTGTCTATACCAGTAAGTATTTTGTAATATATAATGGCCAAACATTGATGTGGGATATTTATTTACATTGCAGTAGTTGAAGTAACATCAAATATTCAAAAATCACTTCTGAATTTAAAACTCCCTTTCTGCATATATATATGTATGTATATACATGTTTAAGATATATTTTATTTATTTGAAAGGCAAAGCTACAGAGAGGCAGAGGCAGAGGCAGAGAGAGAGAGAGAGAAAGGGAGGGAAAGAGGGAGAGAGAGAGAGAGAGAGAAAGGGAGGGAAAGAGGGAGAGAGAGAGAGACAGAAAGAGAAAGTCTTCAATCTGCTGGTTCACTCCCCAAATGGCCGTGATGGCCAGAGCTAAGCTGATCCAAAGCCAGGAGACAGAGCCTGTTCCAGGTCTTTCACATGGAAGTAGGAACCTGAGGACTTGGGCTATCTTCTACTGTTTTCCTAGGCCACAGCAAAGAGCTGGATTAGAAGTGGAGCAGCCAGTTCTCAAACGGGCACCGGTATGGGATGCTGGCACTACAGGCAGCAACTTTATCTGCTATACCACAGTGCTGCCCTAAGCATATATAATTTAATTTTACCTTAACAGCAATCCCATAATTTACAGGTATTCTCACTATTGCTATTATGCAGTTCAATAATACAATATTCAGAGAGGTTAAATAATGTGTGACTTTGGCTATATATAGATATAGGTATATATACGGATAGAGGTATAGGTATAGATATAGATATATCTTAAAAATATAAGTGTTCACCTCATCCAATATACAATTAAAGCCTTTTAAATGGAAAGAAATTCATATTTGACTTTATCTGTAATTGAAAGAATGAACACAATACTTGTACACTGATTATTCTTGGTCAGTCATTAATGATAACTGGATGATTTCAATAAATTTATTTTTTAATGATTTTATTTGTTTATTTGAAAGGCTGAGTTACAGAGATTGAGGGAGAGACAAGAAGTGAGAGGGGAATCTTTCATCTGCTAGTTAATAACCACAATGGCCAGGTTTGGGCCAGGCTGAAGCCAGGAGCCAGGAGCTTCATCTGGGTCTCCCACATGGGTGCAGGAGCCCAAGTACTTGGGCCATCTTCTGCTGTATTCCTAGGCACATTCTTAGGGTGCTAGATCAGAAGTAGGGCAGCCAGGACTCAAACTGGGGCCCATATGGAATGCCAGCATTGTAGGAAGCAGCTTAACCCATTATACTACAATGCTGGACCCAGAAAATGTCACACCAAAGAGTAGTAAAACTTAGTGTGTTGGCCGGCCCCACGGCTCACTAGGCTGATCTTCCGCCTTGCGGCGCTGGCACACCGGGTTCTAGTCCTGGTCGGGGCGCGGGATTCTGTCCCGGTTGCCCCTCTTCCAGGCCAGCTCTCTGCTGTGGCCAGGGAGTGCAGTGGAGGATGGCCCAAGTCCTTGGGCCCTGCACCCCATGGGAGACCAGGAAAAGCACCTGGCTCTTGCCATCGGATCAGCGTAGTGCGCCGGCCACAGCGTGCCGGCCGCGGCGGCCATTGGAGGGTGAACCAACGGCAAAAGGAAGACCTTTCTCTCTGTCTCTCTCTCTCTCACTGTCCATTCTGCCTGTCAAAAAAAAACAAACAAACAAGCAAAAAAAAACAAAACAAAAAAACACTTAGTGTGTTGTACCTGTGTGTAGAATTGCCTTATTCAAACTAGATTCATACAAACCTATTTTATAATACTGAAATATGTTTTTCCCCCAAATAATTAAAAGTTCTTGGACTGAGAACCCTGGGTGGCTGCCTTACCTCAGTACTATTACATGAGTATAAGAAAAAGACTAAAAAAGGACCTAAATGAAAGATCTCCACGAGTGAAATCCCAGTGGAAAGAACAGGTCATCAAAGAAGGAGGTACCTTTCTCTGAAGTGAGGAGAGAACTTCCACTCTGACTACGACCTTGTCTAAATATGATCAGAGTCCATGAATTCAAAAGGCTTCCATAGCCTTGGCAACAAGAGCCTAGGGTGATTACTGATGCCATAAACAAGAGTGTCAATTTGCTAAATCAACAGCAGGAGTCACTGTGCACTTACTGCTCATGTAGGATCTCTGTCCTTAATGTGCTGTACATTATGATTTAATGCTATAACTAGTACTCAAACAGTATTTTTCACTTTGTGTTTCTATGTGGGTGCAAACTGTTGAAATCTTTACTTAATGTATGCTAAACTGATCTTCTGTATATAAAGAGAATTGAAAATGAATCTTGATGTGAATGGAAGGGGAGAGGGAGTGGGAAAAGGGAGGGTTGCGGGTGGGAGGGACGTTATGGGGGGGGGAGGCCATTGTAATCCATAAGCTGTACTTTGGAAATTTATATTCATTAAATAAAAGTTTAAAAAAAAAAGAAACAGACTAAATCAGTAGAAAAAAAGCCTATTCAAATAATATATTTATTGAGTTACTTATATATGTGAGACACTGTGTCAAGAAAGTAATATACATGTAAAGCAGGCGATTGCTGGCAGTGTGCTAAGTAAATTTATAATATATCTGATCAAATTCTTGGAAGGCCAGTATACTAATTTAATATAGCAAAATAAATTAACTGGAAATACTCAGAAATCTTCACTAGTAGAGTATTTTGAGAATATATGACCCCATTAATTTTCTCAAGAAGTCAGATAAATGGAAGCTACAGTAGAAACTAGGGAATTAAAAATGTACAGTTTCAGGGAAGATGGTTGGTTCAGTGGTTGAGATGCCACTTGGAATGTCCTCATCCCATACTAAAGAGCCTGGGTTTGAGTCCCAGCTCTGCTCCCAGTTCCATCTTCCTGCTAAAATGCACTCTGGATCACTGGAGGTGATAGTTTAAGTAACTGATTCCTACCATTATTGGGAGACCCAGATATAGTTCCTGGTATCTGGCTTTGGCCTGGCCGTGTTCCGGCAGTTGTAGGTATTTGAGTAATGAAGGAGTGAACCGGCATATACAAGGTTCTCGCTCTCCTTTTCTCTTTCTCTCTCCTTGTCTCTGCCTTTCAAATAAACAAATTAATTTCTTAAAATGTTACAATACTAAGATATTGGGATCTTAAAGGGAATTTGAATCACTTATCCTTTTTTAAAAATATTCTATCTAATGATATGAGAAACAGTAGAAAGCGTAATATAGTAATGCATTATATTGAAACATCCCAGTCCATAATAACAAATAATAACTTTTTCTACCTGTTTATTTAAAGGCTTTCTTTCAACCCAATTGTAACTTTGTTTACATTAACTAGACAAAAATGAGTTAAATGAATGTAGGATAGAAATTTTTAGATCCTCAAAATTATAAGCATAACTTTTTTTATGTCTTTTGTATATATAGGTATTGCAATGTAATGAACTGAAAGTAATGATACTGAATATTATGCTCAGGTATAATTGGTATGATCTGCTCAAAAGGGTGAACTCTTTTTTAATATGTTTTTCTTTCTGTTTTTTAATGGGGCTACTGAAGATTTTAAAGTCATATTTCCTTGAATGGCACAATATTTACAGAATGCTTTTGCTTTTTTATGTGTCATTTTGTGTTACCTTTTGTTTGAAATGTTTATTGTTTTCAATGCATAAAATAAATGTAATTTGAGATTATTGATACAAAGATACTGAACATTTTAGGACATACTTCAATTTAAAATTTTATGGCAGGCTCAGATGTCTAGAATGAGTGTAATCACTAACTGTATTGTCACTAGGGTGAGTTATGGGATGTCAAAGAGAGAGAGAAAGAAGGAAGAACAGGAGGGAGGCAGAAGGGAGGGAAGTAGAGAAGTGGAAAAAATCATAAGGAACAAATATTGGAAGTTATCCTTCCTTTCTTAATGACACCAGTTGTTTATGATGGGGGGGTGTTGTGAAAATTTTAAGCTGTAGAATTGAGAACAGAATTTAAAAGCAGTTATTATTTTTCAAAGGCAAGTGTACCTCTATAAATAACTTTTTTATGTCTCAGAATTCAAACTAAACTATTTCAGTCTGATCTGGAACAAAAATGCTTATAGCCTACTTCCATGGTGTCTCTGAAAGTAAATGATCCTATGATTTTGTAGGTCAACAGCTGAGCCCTCCTGTGATGGAGGGCCCTAGAAATAGCAACATATCTATTTTTTTTCATTTTTTTTATTTAGTAAATATAAATTTCCAAAGTACAGTTTATAGATTACATTGGCTTCCCCCCCTATAACTTCCCTCCCACTGACACCCCTCTCATCTCCCTCTCCCTTTCCCATTCCATTAACATCAAGATTTGTTTTCAATTATCTTTATATACAGAAGATCGATTCAGTATATATTAAGTAAAGATTTCATCAGTTTGCACCCACACAGAAACACAAAGTATAAAATACTGTTTCAGTACTAGTTATAGCATTACTTCACATTGGACAACACATTAAGGACAGATCCCACATGAGAGGTAAGTACACAGTGACTCCTGTTGTTGACTTAACAATTTGACACTCCTGTTTATGGCATCAGTAATCTCCCTAGGCTCTAGTCATGAGTTGCCAAGGCTATGGAAGCCTTTTGGGTTTGCCAACTTCAATCTTATTCCGACAGGGTCATAGTCAGAGTGGAAGTTCTCTCCTCCCTTCAGAGAAAGGTACCTCCTTCAGATTTTTCTTTAGGGCCTGCCTATTTCATATTTCTATTGCCAAGTTTATATATACAGCTAATATAATAGTTATCACATTATATTATGTTCATACTTGTCAACAAACATTGTGCACGGTTCTTCAGAGGACCTTTTCCCTTTATAATGTCTTTCATCAGTTTTAGCTCCATTGTATCTTTTTACATTTTCTTGGTAAATTAAGACATCTGAATACTAATTTTACAAAATGTGATACCAGAGGAAGGCTCTACTAGGCTATATATTTTAGATATTCACAAAATTTGGAGAAGCAATAATTAATCAATTCATGAATATATGATCTAGGAGGAAATGGAAAATAGTGTGTCTGTGTTTGAA